CCTAAAAGCTTGCAGAAAACCTTTTGAGGTTAGTTTCGTTCACGATTTTCTTTATTCATTGTGCTGTGGAATTTATAGGATCTCGAAACAATGACACTGGTGTGCGCGTGGTCAAATGGTCATCTATGTGGCCATGTCAGCATTTAGTAAAAACATTTTTTTTTTGCATTCGCTACTTACATTAAGTAGTTCTTGGTCATACAGATAACATTATGTCGACGGGTGCGGTTCATTAGGACAGAAAGCGAATTTTCCACATTTCGCAGCGCGCAGCTTTTTTCGCCACGGAACCCCAGGTCCACCGCTGATCATGATGGACCTGGGGTTTTGCCGCGAAAAAAGTTTCGTGTGCGAAAAGCGGATTTTTCGCTTTCTGTCGTAGTGAACCACAGACATGTCGGCTTTCAGCTAAGGCCAGATCAGTAAGAGGTGGGGGGGGGGGGCGTTAGACGACAATTTATTTTTGATGTTGGTCTGAATTCGAAATTTTTACCTCGTTCGAGCTTCGTGAACAAAATGAGTGATTATTTTTAAAATTGCTTCAACGTTTGCGAGGCCTACTAGTGTATCAGCTTGGAAAAAAACTTTTCAACACTTCCCCATTTCGATTTGGTTTTTATTTTTTTGGTAGCAAATCCTGACAAATCCACTTTGGATATCTACCATGAGTGTCTATCACTTGACTCAACACTGGGAAACCTCGACGCTCTTTTTCCAAAAAGTGGCGTTCTATGGGTCAGAAAGCAGGCGGCCTTGCCATTGAATTGAAGTTGGTCGCCTAATTATTCTGCCATAAAGATGATGTGAAGGTTCGGAATATGTGATGAGCCTAAATGTTAACCGCCTATCCCAGGCCCCAATATTTGTCGTTGACATGAATTCATGAGTTATGATATTTGTAGTAGACAGTGATACGGAGTACAGAATGACCATAAGACGAGGCTTTTTGAACTTTCTGGATAACTACTGATTGCATCGCCCCAATTCGGTGTGTGGAAGCTAAGAGAATGCTCTACCATCTGTTTGTCATAAATGTCAGTTACGAATTTTTTGAAAAAAAAAACAAAGCTTGAAAAAGAGGCAAGACTTTCTTTTCTTTTTCCATTCTAAATAGGAGGCAATCGGGAACCTCTCCTGGAGGAATTTCTTCGAGTTCGTGTTCTTCTTATAGTCGCCTTCTTCGCTCGTAGAGAGGGTTTCCCCGTTGCAAGTTAGACCGTTTCGAGATAGCATCAAGAGTTTAATATTGAGGTGTATTTCGAACAAACACGTTGATGGCACAATAAGGATATTCACTTCGACTAACCAGGAAAGGCATTCAACTTCCCATGGAACTTTGAGGTGAGACCCAAAAATGTCGATAGAGCTTCGAACGCTGATTACAAATATGGATACTAAAACTGCAAAATGAGCCTGGTGGTGCCCTCGCTCTTCACTTAGAGGTCACAAGCTTCTCCTTCCCGCGCAGGAGCGCAAATTCCGGAGGCACTACCACTACTCACGGACGACTCCAGCCAAGCCTTCTTGTTAATCAGCGTTAAAGGTTCTATTGATATAGTCTGGGGTCATCACTCGGAAAGCTCCATGGGAAGTGAATCGCATTTTCTGGTTTAAGTTGCAGCTCCAGCTGTTGGCCACGCGTATACCAGTGAGATTATGCGTGGGCCACTTTTACAACTTACCATTCTTCTGTAGAAAAGCAGTGGTTTCGTTCGCGGCGGTGATTCCAATCTCGAGGAATCGGCAATGGAGTCAAGTGTGTACGACATGGACGTAACGCAGACGAATGTGTCACAGAAGGAAAACCTGCACTGTGTTCTCCAAGAAACCTTGGTTCTCATGGATGAAGAGCAAGACACTACTCTAAAGAACGTGCGTCTTATTACCAGCAACAACACATGTTTCTTTTGTTTATCCCAAGTCAGCGGAATGCTATTTTCTTGTTTTTAATCTCAGGATGAGCCGGCAGGCCAGCCACAAGTCGTTGATGTCAACATTAAGAAGGCAATCATTGAAGAAGAAGGACAGCAGCAGAGTGCCGTTTGTGTTGAAGTGCCGCTTAAAGGAGACTCGGTGTTTGCTTCCGTAGAAGCTGTCATGTTGTGCGAACGCAAAGACGCTCACCCTTTGTTAGAGGAAGTAAGGCGATTCGATTTCAGTTTTTGAGGTGGCTTTTTACAGTGGAGTTCTTATGCTTGGTCCAATTTTTTATAATAAGTCTTCTGGCGCACTTGCTCCATTTTACTTTTGCCATTTTGGCAGTCATCCTCAAACATTATATATGATACAGCAGCGTGAGTTGGTAGTTCACCTTGTGTCAAGCTTATTGTTTTTGATTGCTTCGCGAGTTCACGGCGTAATTAGGTTTCTATGTTTGGTTGCTTGCGTGGTTCTGTAAGTCCATAGCAAGCGTGCTCGGTAGTAGCTTGCTACGTCCTTTCTCCACTCGTATCGAAAACAGATGATAAGCTACTATCGTCCATTCATCCAATTGATTTCCATCTTGTCAGGACGACATTAGCATGGTGAAATGTGTTGGGATTCGGAGTTGAGGCAAGGTCACTCCCACCACAGAAGTGGGTAAGTATTTTCCAAAGAAATAGTATAAATCAAAAACTACCATTCTCTCTCATTTTATAGGGCTCGGTTAATGTTTCAATTCTGAGTGTGGAACCGCCAGCATCTCCACCGAAGGACTCCCTCCCTCTCTTTTACCTCAGCTGTGCGGAGCAATATCAGCACCCCTCGAGAGAGTGACGTTAAACCTCTAGGAGAAGAGGACGCCACGTATATTCAAGAATTCAATGAAACCGAATTTGTTTTCGCTCAACCACTTGCAGTAGCTGGTGACATTGAATATGGGAAGAGCGAGAAATCTTCCCCAGAAGGTGATAACGCAGCTATGGCCAACCTTTCCAATATGGACATTAGCGCAGTTGTTGATGACACTCTGATGGTCTTCCGTGAGCCTGCTAAGTTTGCAGCTTTACTTGCTGATGATGATGCTTTCCCAGCTCATTATGGTACAACAGAGGTGGAAGGCAGAGCATGCAACCTGAAAATGTTGATACAGGAATTGCTTATGAACCGCTGGTGCAGAAGGATCTGTTCGATATCGCAGAGCAGGAGGCGATGATTCAGGAAGACGAAGTTGGAAGTCCACAGTCGCCGCAGGAAGCTGTAGCGCTTAGAGTGTTGGAAAATGCCAATGTGGTACGTACGCGAGGAGTCATTGAAAACATGCAGACCGAAAACCTGTCATCAGTGGCAATACCAGTTGTTCCTGCATCAGAAAATGCTGAAGAGCTCCAAGCGGGAGACAGTGAGTCTGGATTCAGCGACCGAATGACGGAAGGTCGCGCTTCAGCAAAGTCTTCCGCAGTTCCCCGTGAGTTTTTTCTTCAAAATTTGTGAGCATGTCATCTTCTTATTAGTTGAAAGGCAATTCATATTGGGGCCCTACAAGGCTGTTGGCATTTGCGGTCTATCTGTTTGGTGATTTTTGAGAGAGCATATTAGGGCTGGTAACGCGTACATTTTATTTATTATCATTCTCATAAATAGGACGCAGTTGCAAAGCAATCCTACATTTTCTTTATTCTACTATTTTTATTATTCTTCCGATGGACACATCTTGCGACGCTGAGCTCAAATCCGTCTTTATATCTGCAAACGATTCTCTGAACAAAGTTACGAAGGATTCTTCTCACTGTGGCTACCTCACTGTGACTATCTCACAGTGGCGCCCTCTACATCCCCCTATCCCCGTTCGCGTAACAAGGGCCGGAGAGCAGTCATGGTTGAGCCGGATGGTGTCGTGGGTAGCGCTCTTGCTTCACATGGATGAGGTCGTATGTTCGAATCCTAGGTCGTAATAAACTTTTGCGTATTTCTCAGGACATCTGGTGCTGCGGTGGCAGCTGAAGGTGAGTGGAAGGAGAGGAGAGGGGGTGAAGTGTTCGAGGAGGGTAGGCGGGAAACCACCCCCAACAGGCCTAGGATGCAATTAGCTTTCGTAAGGTGATTTTAGGCCGTAAAGCGTACGCTGTGAAAGAAGGTCCCGGCGGTTGGCGGGGGACCAACCTGGTATATGCAAAAGCTAATAGCAAATGATTCTGAGAGCCTAACGAAACAGATTTTCGAATTCTATTTCCCGTGCTCTAGTCAAAGGCAACGATCATGATGTCTGGAGGGTGGTGTGGTTTTGGTGACGTACTTGAAAGTCATTTGCCGAAGGCGTTAGAGGTGCTTTTAACCTAAGCTGTCAGCACGCTGAGGGGTCTTGGCCGTCAATGTCGCTCAGCGACATCAAACCGCACCGCCCTCCAGCCATCGTGATCGTTTTTTTTTAAGTTTTTTTTTATGTTCATTTCTTCTTCAGGTTACAAATCCCCATTGTCTCCAATTGCTGATGTATCACGAGGTGGAACAATTTCCCGTGAATCGAGTGTGCCAAGAAGCTTCGGCTCGACGGCGTCGACGCCCGTTTATCCAAACAGGCGAAAGTACCACATGAACGATTCCGAGTAAGAATTTTGTCTTTTTTCTTCCTTATCCTATGTAAGCTCTTCATTGCAGAATATCCTTCATGATTAACGAGATAAAGGTTTTGAACGATGAAGAACAACGGAAGTCTAAGACACCATCACATTTGGAACAACTGACTGAAAACATAAATCAGCTGGAGGCGGAAAAGGCGGAGCTCTCTGCCGATCTTTGCGCTCTCTCTGCAGAGTTAGATAAGTATAAAGAAATGTCAACAGTACAAGAGAATGCATTAGCAGAGGTTAACAAAAAGCTGGTGAGTGCTGTCCAATCGCAGTAGCCCCTCTTGTGTTTATGTTGGTTCCCTGGAGTTTACTTTTTGAACAGTAGCAATTGTCTTGATTTCTCGCAGAATGAAGTGGAGAAGGCAAAGGAACATGCTGAAAGGACCATAGCGGATTATGAATTCATTGTAACGGACCTAAAGCAAAGGCACATCAAGCAGAAGGAAGATCTTCATGCTAAGGTTCGTTTTGTACCCTTCAGTCATTTCCAATAACAGCTGCAGGAATTGGATAAATTTTAACGTTTAGTTGATCGCTCAAGAAGAAGAGCTCGAGAAATTTCGTGTGATAGTCCAATCTCAGGTTCGATAGCAAGAACACTTAATTTGCATCGCTTTTAGCCTTCTTGTTCTCTTTTTATGTTTTTTTTTTCTCAGGAAGATTTGACTTACACGTCTGCGGATCTCTCGGCACAGCTAGCTGCTGTGAATGAGCGACTGGTGATGTCAGAGGCCGCAAGAATAGCCGCTGAAAAACGTTGTGAAGATCTGAAGGAGGTATACCATGTCATTCAAGCTTAGCGAATTTGAGCGTTTCTGCCGTTATGCAACATGCTATCCGCATTCTCTTGCGCTGCGACTTTGCACTAGGGAACGGGCATGGTAAAAAGGACTATGAAAAAGGACATTTTTATTTGAGTTGTTTCTTATGTTACAGGAGCTTGAAATGGCTACGAAGTCCACGGTGGACACGGTGGCTCTTTCAGACGAGGTGATTTGTGTTTCTATTAGTTTTGATGTTACCTAGGTGCATCTGAATTCGAGCAGCCTCTTTCTTTACAGGTCACTTCCGCTAATAATGAGCTAGCCGCCATGCGAGACAGATTAGCTGAGTTGGAAAAAGAGGTTTGTCAGTCACAGCATTCTTTTGAGGGCATATTTCTCGTAGGCAATGTGTGTGAAAGAACAATTTGAAATGTGGACCTTTTGAATGCTTTCTGCTCAAACTCCGCAAGCCGTAGTCAGTTCTTCTTTTGTGGCTCCCTTTCCCGGCAAAATAGATCTAAGTGACCAACTATAGTTCGTCTCCGATTATTGTAATCATTGCAACTGTGCTGCTGCAAGGTCTTACATTGACCTTTTCTTACAGTGTGTTAATACGACAATCTCTTGTTGACCTTATATATGGTCGCTAAGGCGTTGCAATAGCAGCCACCGTGATGCAGTTTTTGCTTGTTGAGCACTATGTTTGGCGAAGAATTGAATTGGCAAATTTGGTGTACGAGACATATTA